TGACGCCGCCAGATTGCTGAAGGTGGTGGATAATGAATCTCTGGAAGGTCTTAAAGCTCTCTTGGTCGCAGGCGTGCACATCAATGGCCATGGAGGCTCGTTCCATGAAACAGCCCTTCACCGTGCAGCACAGTTACGGTGGACAGCCGGGCTTAGTTACCTGTTGTCGGCGGGGGCGTCCGTGTATGCCAAGAATCAGTTCGGACAGACGCCCCTGCACTACGCGGCGGCGTCGCAGTCGACCGCATGCATTAAGCTACTTCTCTCCTCCGGGCGGCCAGGAGTAGTGGATCACCGGGACATGCGAGGACACACGCCTCTGCACGATGCCAGTGCGTCAGGGTGCGTTGAGGCGATTGCAGTCTTGCTCAAGGCAGGGGCTCTGGTGCGCGCCAAGGATGCGAACGGAGAAACGCCGCTTCACAAGGCAGCGAAGGCGCGCTCGATTCCCTCGATGGTGGCGCTCCTCAACGCAGGAGCCGATCTCGCAGCCGTTGATGACAACGGGGAAAGCGTGCTGTCCTATATCCTGCATCATCTCCCTGGCACCATGGATGCGGTTTTTGACCACTGCCTGGTCACTAATTCTCCCAAAATTAATACAAAGACTTTGGAAGTATCTCTGAACTTTTTGCCTCTTACCTGTTCATTCGAGAAGAATCAGGTACAAAACCTACAGTCATTTGTGGACATGGGTCAGGCAAAGCTCCTGAGCCACCCTCTTTGTGAAGCTTTTCTTCTTCTTAAGTGGATGAATGTTCGGAGGTTATTTTTGATAGAAGTTGTCTTTTATTTTATTTATGCAACGCTGACCACCATTCTGACCTTCAACAAATTTGTGTGGACAACAAGTCACACTAATGTTAGCGAACTCGTAAAGGAGCGAGGCGAGGATTGGAAGGAGTGGGGCGAGTCCCACGTGCAGGGCGAGTGGGGGCTGTCAGCTATCCCAGATAAAGCTGAAGAGGTTCTCAAAGGCCTGGTGATATTTCAGACAGTATTAATCCTCCTACAGCAGCTATTATCCCTTATGCAGAATAAGCTAGCATGGTTCCGATCGCTTTCTGGCATCCTCCATGTGATGATAACTCTCCTCGTTCTGCTGGTCGTGCCTTTCCCGGTGCCCGCGGAGTGGCAACACCACCTGGCCACATGGATGCTCCTGCTGATGTGGACCGAGTGCATGGTGCTGATCGGACGATTTCCAAACTGTGGCATATATGTCGTCATGTTTACCAGAGTGGCCAAGGTCTTTGTTCGTATATTTGCTATATACTTTTGCCTCCTCCTTGCATTTTCGTCTGCGTTCTATGTTGCGCTACATTATGCCAAGGACTCTGGCACAGGAGAGCAAGAGAACCAGGTGTTCACCAACCCAGTCTTAACATTCACCAAGACACTGACGATGATGATCGGTGAACTTGACTTTGGAGACGATTTTGTGGTTGGATTATCACACTTAGTGGCAACTGGACACATAATCTTTCTGTTCTTTGTCATCCTCGTCTCCATCATCCTCTCCAATCTTCTAGTGGCTCTTGCAGTCAATGACGTTCAGGCAAGGAATTTGATTTTTAACAATGACTTTAAAAACGTTTTAAACAAAATTTTGGTGTTAGCCATTTTTACACACGCGAACATCTGTATAAAATGGTGTCAATGATTTTAAGTTTAATGATTTTAAAGGTGTTAATTAATAATTGTTGTTTGCCAACAGGGTTTGAGGAACTCGGCTCATCTGGAGAGGCTTATAAAGCAAACAGAGTTGGTGTTTCAGATGGAAAAGAACTTCTCCACGGCATCATACCTTGGGTCTCACATTAAGATTCCCAAGTAAGCGGCGGGCTTGTATGTTTTCGTGTGTGAATGATTCACCTTTTAGGAAGTGGGTTTAAGATTGAAAGTTGTGAAAAGAAACATATTTATTGGACTGCTAGTATAGTTAGAAGCATCAACAACTGCATATTGTATAGGTTATATAGCTAATTGCTTATTTCATTTGATATGATAAAATATTTCAGATTGCGAGAAATGCTGACGAAGGTTTCCTATATATGCAAACATGATTGCTACAACTCCCGTGCTTTTCTTCTTCCGAACCATCCAAAAAAGGTAGGTTAATATACCTGTGAGTAGTAAAGATTATAGAAATATTTTTCATGAAATGTGAGGCACATTATGCATTAATCAGTTTGATTCATATCAGAACATTTTTTTTACTCTAATAATCCATTCCACTGTATCGTTTTGTCTCTTCCAAACTCTTCTTTGAATGGTTTTGCTTTTGTTTCACAGGCCAACAGACTCTACATGGTGGAGAATAAGAAATGCGTTGACGTCGCCTTGCCTTCTTTCCTGAAAACCAACATCATCGAGTGCCTGAGGGCGCGGGAGACCGAGTCCGCCGACAGCAAGGGCAGCGTCCGCGCCAGGAAGGGCAGCAGGATTCGCCGCGGAGAGTACCACCGCAATGAGCAGCAAGATTTGAAGGTCAGCATCAAGGAGCTCGAGGCCAACGTGGCTGAAATTATGAGCGAAAAGGTCGACGAGATAACAGAGACATACGGCGCTCTCGCTAAGAGGATAACGACTCTTGAGGAAAATCTAGAGAAGTTAATTAACCTGTTGAGCAAAAACACCAATGGTGAAAATCCAAACCCTAGTCAAACTGAATAATTGATGAAGCCTGGTTGATTTATTTTTCATTTTTTAAATGGAAGTATTTAGTGCCAAGGGGTTGAATTTTTACCCACAGTATCTTCAACGTTATATACGATTCTCTTGTCTTGTATTTATTCTCTGTGATACCTTTTGGAACTGTGCCTCTTATGGGATTATTATAGTCTCCTGTAAATCAAGGGCATAGGTTGTGGTAATTCCTGTGATCATTGTACATTTGTAACGAAATGATCACTTCCAGAAAAGTATAGAGCTTATGCTGATGCTTGAGGCCCGGTTTCTAATCAATCTCCGGTTAGGGTAGCAGTAATTAATCTGTGATAAGTTTTGATGGTATTTTAATATTTTAGTAATAGTTCCCTTTCCATAATATTCTCATGAGAGTATAAAGCTGAGAGTGATATGTAAATATAATTCAGAAACTGAGTATGTGTCTGCCATTGTGAGAAGCTTTATATTATAATGGTGTATATAATATAATTACATTACCCGGAAAAGTTAAAATTAAATACAAGAATTTACTGTCTAGACTTTTCAAGAACGGGATATAAAGATAGCTATATTAATTTAAGATATCAGTTCTAACTTTGAATCGACACGTGTATTATTGTAAAAGGTCGCCAACAGTTTATATGCTAAATAGGTTGCAGTTTTAACCTCAGAAATAGCACTATGAAACCACCCTTGTTAAGTATTTATTTCTTGTATTTGCTATACTACTGTACTTCATATACCTGTACAGTCCTATATCTTTAACAGTAAAATTTACCATATCACTTCGGCATCCTGCCTTACTTTGTAGGCATGAAAGTCAGGATATTATTACGAAGGAGCCAATATGACTGTTGGTCACAGATCTTTTGTAAGCTTAAGGAATGTGTATCATATCGTTAACATGCTTTGTGACATTGTTTATGAAACGGCTCAAGCGGTGTCCTCACTCCATGAAATATATAAAGATAACAGATTCTCTGATTGAGTCAAGGCCTGGAATTGCTTTTTGAGATTTGAACTTTTATCTATGATATGTATTTTATTTTGTAATATGTTATGGATTACAGCGTGCATAAAGTGTAGAATGTCATACACTATATATGGTTTAACTTGTAGTACTTTTCAGCTAGATGGTTATTGGTTTGCACATTCATATATCTGATTTCTCTTTATGCTCATTATATTACAGATTATAGAAATCAGATTATGCTTCTTGGTTTTGAAACTGTGAAAGTCAAAGACCGAAACAAAGACTTCAGGTTCCCGAGCTTGAAAATGCATATTACAAAATAATATTGTAGCGCAACACTGCACTATGCAAAGTTCTTACAATAGTCTTACTATTCATCATTGACATAAAGAAAAAAATAAGTTGTTTAAACTTTCATAGAGGTGTAAAGTTCCAGTAATAGTACTGATAGAACAAAGGAGACGTTTTTATGATATTGTACCTGACTCAAGTGAAGACCCTCTTTCAATAGAACAATGCAGAACATTACAATTTAAGTGGGACTGTTGATAACTAATAATTGCTACAGCTGTTTAGTAGTGACGGCAAAAATCTTTGGATATCAGATAGGTGCAATGCAACATCTCCAAACACGCTTTCATGTGTCTCTGCATCCGTATCTGATCTTTCCAAACCTCAGGGCTTATTATTATCATTAGGAAAAAGAGGTGCGATCACCCTATGGCTAGCCCAGGAACAATCGGCTAATTCTGTAGTGAATTATCCTTGAACTTACTCCAATTCCACCGTGGATCAAGGTGGAACATGGTGACTACAAAATAAAATTCGCCTGTCATTTCGAGTCTGAAGAAAAAGTTACCGAACAGATTAGATTGGAGAAGCTCATAGAATTCCACTGGAATCCCAGGCAAAGGGATGGAAATATATGTGCTAAGAAAATAATAATGGAACATTAACTATCAACTGTATTATAAATGTAAAATAATTTTACGCACGGATATGCACGTAGGAATATCGATTGGAATATATAATTCTCACATGATAATATTAGAATTATGTATGTAATATCATTATATTGTTATTCTTAAAAAGTCAATGCAGGGACGATATAAAATAGATTCAATTGACCTACGTCGAATCGCTGTTTGCGTAGTAATGATGGTACGACTTGGTAGATATCGTGGATCAAATATTTTGGTAAACGGCCTTAGGCAGTTGCTAGAACATCATACTTGTTGCTTCTTTACAAAATTACGTCACTGTTCGTTGCTGCTCTTTCTTCATTCTCTCTGAAATCTGGCCTTTGTATAGGTTACTGAAATTACATATCATACGGCTGCAGAATGTAAACAACAAT